AGAGGACTGAAGAAAGGAAGAAAGAGGTGAAGGAAGGAAGAAATTACAGAAGGGAAGGAAGGGAATATGAGAGGACAGGGCAGAGAAGAAAGGCAGAAAGAAGGGAAGCCAGGAGGAAAAGAAGGAAGGAAGGGAGGGAGGGAAAGAGGGAGAGAGAAAAGAGGAAGGAAGGAAGAAAGAAAGAAGGTAGGTAAAACGAAGGAAGGAAGTCAAGAAGAAAATAATGATTGCGGCACATCCTTTCATTTTGCAATTTTTCCACATTTTAATTCTTTATAGACAATACTGTTTTGTTGAGGGAAGATATTTTTTTTTTTTTCTTTCTACATACATTAATACTTAACTTACTAGAAAAGAAATCCCCTTAATAGCTAAAAAATAAAAATAAAAAAGTTTAAATTTCTTGCCAGATGGAGAAAAACCAATTGTTTGCTTAAAGGCTAGCACCCTGCACTTATCCATTCTCGTTTCTGTGCACCTTAAGTGCCTTAACGAATATAACTGTTCCAGTGTCAATAATATAAAGAAGTAAAAATCTAGAGCTGCATTTAAAAGTATTGAGATATACTGCTATAAGTACTGGTATAATTGGGACTGAAAACTAGCAGTCATTGAGGGACTACAATCTACTTAACAAGGTACTAAGTACTTACAAGGAGCTCTGGTAGCATAGTGCCTAAGGCATTTGACTACTAACCAGAAGGCAGGTGGTTCAAACCTACCAGCCACTCCTCAGAAGGAAGATGGGGCAATCTACTTCCGTAGTGACACTGCCTCGGAAACCCAAGGAGGGGTCACTATGAGTCGGGTCCGACTCAATGGCACATGACAACAACAACAACAAGTACTTACATGTGTTATCTCCCTTAATTCTCAATAATCTGATAAAGTACAAATTTATTCACTATTTATAAATTGTCGGAAAATGGCCAAGTAAGTTGGTCAAGTTCTCACTGTTGTGAAATGGAAGAAAAGAGCCGAACCTAAGTTTGGTCAATATTAAGCTCTTCCCTCTGCAATATATCAGCTGAGGAATAATTCCTTCCAGTCACTCTTACAACAGAAACAAGTATGTGGTCCTTGGTAGCATTCTCAATAGCACTGAGTCTGTATCTTGGCCTTTCTCTAAAGATAAATTCTGCAGTCTCTTTAAGTATCTGACTGAATAGTGGGCACTGCAGGAAGTCACAGAATTTGAAAGATAAATCTTTTTAATTTCCTATTGATTGGTGTAATTGAAGTTTATTATTACTGTTATTATTTTAATAAAAAAGTATGGAGAAATATGCTCTAAGTGGTTTTGTCATAGTAAATTGTGTTCTCTTTGTTTCATTTAATATAAATAAGTCATACCCCTGGAAGAAGAGTAATTGCCTATTCAAAGTCCTCCTGGGACACAGAGACAACCTGGGATAAAGTCCCATTGGTCACAGACTGAAGGATATATACCCATCCCTTATGAGACTCTTTGTAACACTTGGAGAGGAATGCTGCCCACATCTTCTACAAAATTAATTCTACAAAATCCTAGATGGTGGTAAGGTAGGTTATTTCCTAATGGAGCAATAACTTGTCTGTTGTAAATTCAACAATCATGTTGTAAGACACTAGGAAAAAAAAAAAAAAAACTATCTTTCTTGACTCTCTGTGAGTTTCTGTTGAGTCTGAGTGTGTTTTGGGTAATGAAAGGAGCAGTGACATACATCTGACCCTCAGCTTATCAATGGCGTTTTTAAAATACCACTATCCAATTTGTTTTGCACTGTAGGATGGGAAAGCAGACTGGGCTAATTTTGAAATTTTGGGAAATCCAGTGGTTTAATTAATTCCTGGCATCAGTAAATTAAGACTTAGATTTTTATGGACACATAATATATACACACACGCACAATATGATTAACTACTTTCCATGTTTTTGTTGTTGGTATGTGCCATCAAGTAGGACCTGACTCATAGTGATGCCTTCTTGGGTTTCCAAAGTGTTGTCACTATGGAAGTAGATTGCCCAACCTTCCCTCTGAGGAGTGCCTGGTGGGTTTGAATCACCAGCTTTCTGGTTAGCAGTCAAGTGCCTTAGGCACTACGCCACAAGAGCTCCTAATTACTCTGCACAGTTTTCCATAAACACCAACTCATAGAACTTAATACTGTTAAAGCTAGAGTTTGAATTATTAAATAATAATAATGGCATTAGTGTAATAATAAGGAGCTCGGAGGTGCAATGGATAAGCACTGGGCTGCTGATTGAAAAGTCCAAAGTTGAAGCTCACCAGCGGCTCTGCTGAAGAAAAGCCCTGGAAGGCGGCTCTCATAAAGGTTTCAGCCTTTAGAAATGTTTAGGTCCATTAGGGTTGCTAGGAATTAGGATTGACTTGACAGCTCATAGTAATAACAACAACAACAGGGCAAGAGTAATAGTACTGGTAATAATAATTGCTAAGAAGTGCTGGATAATTTGTATGTATCTACATAAAAAGTGCTATAATAAGTTATTCATTTTAATTTAAACTTCAATTTTATGAAATATTAATATGCTAATTAAACAGAAATTGAAGCATAGAGAAGTTCAATATTTTGTGGATTATCTGAATTTAAACTCAGTCTGCTTACTTCCAAATCCTGTGTTCTTGACCACCACAACAAAATTATTTGCAAAGGAGAACAAGTAAATTTCTTGTGGTTAGTTCTAATTTTATTTTTCTCCTCTACTTAAGTAATTCAAACAGAATATCAAACAAAAAATAGTTCACCTTTTAGAAATAACACCCTTGTCTGGTGCGATTTCCATGAGAACCAGTGGAGCCAAACTTATTTTAGAAGATTAATCTGAGTTCCAAGTAGTGTGAGATGAATCCTTGAAGAGAAATGAATTTTGTTGTGAAAGGCTCAATCTCTGACTCGGCAATTAGCAACTGAACCTCTCTAACCAGTGTTCTAAGGATCCCTGGTGGCCTAGTGCCTAAAGCATTTGATGCTAACAAGAAGGTTGGTGGCTCAAATCTATCAGCCTCTCTGTAGAAGGAAGATGGGGCAATCTTCTTCCATAAAGATTTACCACTTTGGAAACCCAGTGGGGTGGCTGTGAGTCCAAATCGACAAGATGGTAGTGTTTGTTTGTTGGTTGGTTTTGTTCTTTTAAAACTGCATTCAAGGTGGCATGGGGACTCGCAGAAGTAAGTTAAACTTTGATCTCAAGGATTTTGAAAGCCGTTTATGGATATAAGATACTCACTCAAAAGATTTGTGGACATGTCACTTATTGGTTGATTCTGTGTAAATGAATTAAAATATATGTGTAAATTATCATTGCTGAGTTTCCTACCAGCACTTCTTGTTGTTGTTATGTGCCATCGAGTCGGACCTGACTCATAGCGACCCCTCCTTGGGTTTCTGAAGCAGTATCACTACAGAAGTAGATTGCACCATCTTCCTTCCGAAGAGTGGCTGGTGGGTTTGAACCACCAGCCTTCTGGTTAGCAGTCAAGTGCCTTAGGTACTATGCTACCAGAGCTCCCACCAGCACTAATACTCTGTAATTAAATAACTTACAATAAAATTCCTAAACAGTAGAAAATGTTTCAACATCAGAGGCACTGTATAGTTTTTTTGTTTATTTTTTAAGGGCAGAATTAAATTTTATTTTAATAAGTTATCTCTACCAAGAAAATATAACAGTCATAAAGCTTCATGTGTTATAGTCGTGTAATTGTAAATGACACTTTGATAAGGTGCAACCTATTATCAAATAACATAGCTTCAAAATGTATGATGCAGACTTAACAATACAAGAAGAAATTGCTAAATCTGTACTCATGAAAGAAATCTGTAAAATGCTTCTTTGAAAGGCGCATCAGGAAGAACCAATAAGAATAAAAGGCATTTGAACCATATCATCAACAAGCTTAAACTACTAGATATACATAAGTAAATAGAGGGGACACTACTTTGCAAAATTCCTTGCAAAATTAATGTCTACCTGCTCATCACATAAGCATTAAGTTGTTGTTAGGTGCCCTCAAGTTGATTCCAACTCCTAGCAACTGTGTGCACAACAGAACAAAACATTGCCTGGTCCAATGGCATCCTAAGAAGAATAATTGTCTTAGATCAACTAGATAAAAGTCAAAGGATAGTGTTTAACAACCATAGTAGCTTGACAAAGAAGTGGGGATTGGAGTATGACAATCTACATGAAGTTGACCAAGTTAATAAAACCATTGTGTGGCGTATTCTCTGAAAATTTGTTTTTGTTTTCTGTTAAAAGATGTAATTAGAAATTATTCTTAGTATCCGAGGGCATTACTCAGAACGTGTTGCTTCATGATTCAGTAACTAACTAAAAGTTATGTGCAGTAAGATATTAGTTACTTTCAAGCTTAAGGGGATTTTGTTGAAGACACCTTGCAGGATTATAAAAATTGCCCAACTCCGTAGAGGCAAAAATCAGTTTTTTCTAACCTCAAGCCACATGTTTCCTTATAAATAAAAGTAGAATTGAGAAACATTCTGGGGAAGAGAAAGTGAGTACAGGTAGATTAGATAATTCCACAGAAGAAAACATGGTCTAGAAAGGTAGTCCAACATAGTAGTGAAGAACACTACCGCTATGCAAGAAATTATTGGGTTCAAACCTTGACTTTGGCATTTAATGACTGGTAATGTTTTTAACCACCCTGTGACATATAAATAATTGAGAACATATTTGTAAGTCATTTGCATGTCTGATACACAACGACTATACAAATATTTATTTCATACATTAAGCATAAATCAATTGAACAGTTGTTTCTAATTTTTGTTCTTGTTCCAATAGCTTAAATATCCAGATGACTGTGTCAAAATTGATGTTGTCCTTGACATCCTAATATGCCTTTGGTCAACTTTATTAATATTCTGTTTCTTTCCTTAGAAGAGAGAAAAAAGACATCCATGATTCATTCATCACTCAAGAAAACTCACATCTGCTGATGCCACCTACCCTGAACAAGAAAACCAAGAACATGTTAGAGAACAATTACACCATGCCAACTGAATTCATTTTTGTTGGATTCACAGACCGTCTACCTCTTAGAGTCACACTATTCTTGGTATTTTTCATAGTATATATATTAACAGTGGTAGGAAACATGACCGTAATAATCTTAGTTAATGTCAATTCAAGCCTTCAAACCCCCATGTATTATTTTCTTTGCAATTTGTCTTTCTTAGACATCAGTTATTCTACAGCAATTGCTCCTAAAATGCTGGTGAACTTCTTAGCATCTAGGAAGAGCATCTCTCCCTCTGGCTGTGCACTACAAATGTTTTCCTTTGCTTGTTTTGCTGATGCTGAGTGCCTCATCCTGGCAGCAATGGCATATGACCGCTATGCAGCCATCTGCAACCCATTGCTCTATTCTACACTTATGTCTAAGAGAGTCTGTATCTGTTTCACACTGTTGGCCTACTTCAGTGGAAGTATGACTTCACTGGTGCACGTGTGCCTCACTTTCCAGCTGCCATTCTGTGGCTCTAATGTCATCAACCACTTTTTTTGTGATATACCTCCTCTCCTGGCTTTATCATGTACAGATACCCACATCAATGAGCTGCTACTCTTTGCCTTGTGTGGATTCATCCAGACCAGCACTTTTGTGGTCATATTTATCTCTTACTTCTGCATCCTTATTACGGTCTTCAGCATAAAATCTTCAGGAGGCAGAAGCAAGACAGTTTCTACCTGTGCTTCCCATCTCATAGCAGTCACCTTATTCTACGGGACACTCTTGTTTATGTACTTACGTCCTACCAACCGCTATTCTCTAGAGACCGATAAGGTGGTTGCAGTATTCTACACAGTTGTCTTTCCAATGTTTAACCCAATAATCTACAGCTTCAGAAACAAAGATGTGAAGAATGTTCTCAAAAAACTGTTTGAAATATACTGGACTTCCAAATAAATCATATATAATTTAATTTAATAATATTTGGGAATTAATCTCCTTTTCCAACATCACCATGTTCAACTATGCCATTCACAGCTCAGATTCCACAATTTTAAATGTTATCACTATTTGCCAGAAATAAGCAGATCTCATCTACATCAATGTCTTCCATCTTTATAGCACCTGGTACATCCCATGTGCTCATCACATGTGTGTTTAATGGCTGGATGGGTGAATTAAGAGATGTCTTTTCAAATGTGTGAGTTGATGGAAAGATGGCTAGATCTATCATTCCACGTCTCCAAGTGAGTCTACATCCTGAACTTAGATAGATGGCATTTCTCATCAGAGAAATTTGATGTCCCCAATGATAGATGGTGGTTGAAGTGAGGAAAGGAGGGGTTCACTAGTTCTCCAGAAATCAGATAGAAGGCATATAGCAGTAGCTTCTTTGATATTAGATCCTATTGAAGAATGGTTCTCTTTGTGCTAGATTTATTGCTGCAAGAAATCCCCTACTCTTCCACTGACAGTGGATAATTAAGAAAACTGAACAAGATTATGAAGTCATTAAGGTTATAAAATCTGTAAATTACTTTTTCATATCTGTGCATATTACTGAAATAATGTTTGAGGAAATATTTTCAAGATGAAGTGAATTATTGCTCTGATAATTTTCTTATGGGAATTAGCAACACATATTCCTTGAAATGTAAGCAGCTTTTTCTCCTGGATCATTTTTGATCATTAATTTATCAGATATTTTCAGTGATAATTTTTGATCCTTTTGATCCTGTTGTTATTGTTATGTGCCATTGAGTGGGACAACTCATAGCGACCCCTCTTTGGGTTTCCGATGCAGTATCACTACCGAAGTAGATTATTTAACCTTCCTTTTGGTGAGTGGCTGGTGGGTTTGAACTGCCAGCCTTCTGGTTTGCAGTCAGGCCTTAAGTACTACGCTACCTGAGCTCCTTCTTTAGATCATACTTTTTGTTTTATCTTGAAAGACTGAAACCCTAAATTGTTTACATGTGAATGTATACTACTGTGTATTTTATTTTACAGGAATTTGAAAATAATATACACCTGATTTAGTTATATTGACTCTAAACCATAGTTAATTTAACATGAAAATTTAGCCAAATAAATTTGGTATGAAAACAAACTACTATGTCTTATTTGAGTACCTCAGTGTTCTATTTTGTAAATGAAGGCAATAAGATGTTACATTCTATACACTAGTATTGTATTGATAATTAAAATGATATATATAAAGCTACTAATATATATATATATATATATACACACAAGATTTGATGATTAAATAAATTAAATGAAGTATAAACAAAAAACAAACCAAACTCACTTCTGTCGAGTTAAATCTGACTCCTAGAGACCCCTCCTTGGGTTTCTGAGGTGATATTTCTACTGAAGTAGATTGCCCAGTCTTCCTTCTGAGGAGTGACTGGTGGGTTTGAACTGCCAGCCTTCTGGTTAGCAGCCAGATGTCTTAGGCATCACCACCAGTGCTCCTAAATGAGGTATAATAAACACATATTTTCCAGAATATTTGTATAACTCTCAAGACAGTGCCTGACACAGAATATCAGCATATAATTTTTGTTTGCTTGTTTACCATTATTATATTACTATTGGACTTTAAGATAATATAATCTAATTTCCTGGGACACGTTCAGTGACCTGGCATAAATGGACATTATAATCTAAGAGAAGGACTTTTGTCCATTACTGTTGGATTTTATGGTGTGTATATGATTAGGGAATCACAAGTTCCTCACCTGGTGGAAACTGGAATTAGATATAACAGAAGTATGATGTCGCTGAACCTTGTCTAAGTCCCATTTTGTCTCCTCAACACTTACCACTTGGGAGATACCAGTTCGTTCTGAGGTTTAAGCAAGATTAAGAACTTGTGGCCCAAGACTTTTAAATCCACATACATGACACTCCAGAACCTATGGCCAGAGTCATCCTCTCAGCATTAACTACCAGTGTTGATTGCCTTAGCAATAAGCTGTAGAGAGTTCCCCTGTAGCTTCTCAGGAAATCAGCCAACAAGGAATCCGTCTTGGTATTTGAATCATTACTCTCACAGCCTCTATCATTTTTCAGTTAAAGCTCATCTGTTTTAGCTTTGCAGCCTAATGTTACATTGTTCCCTTTACTCATTAACAAGTGTTACTTCAAATTTTACCAGTGGATGTATTGCTATAATAACTGTGTAGACTACCATTTGGCCTAGTTTGGTCATCTGCTTTAGGGAAAGGCATCTCTTTAGAGAGGTGCTGGTAAGTATTGATAATTCTATTGGTGGTCCAGGCTTTTCTTTTGTTTTTTTCTAGAATTCAAATAAATGTTTATTTTATATTCATGATTTTTAGATTTTCACATGCATAAAGATATCTTAATTTATTCCTTCATGTTTTATACTTTTTACAACCATTATTTATTTCTACTTAAATCTATAAAATGCCAAGTAATATAATATAAAAATTATATTCAAATGTTCAACTAATAGTTATAGTTCAGTGCAATATGCCAGGCATTTTATTAAGCACTAACAGAAAAAAGCATAGGGAGACTGTGACAGGAGGAATCTGGAAAGTCTTCCATCCTGAAGTGGAATCCGATCTGCATCTATCAGAAGTCAAAGAAAGCTTTAACTCGGGTTATGGTGGGTGACACATAGGCTGGTCGTGTAGCTTACTGTGCAAAGGCCTAGTCATGGGGAAGTGCATGAATATCGAAAGAGTAGTCATGCTGTACTCAGAATTCCACCTAAACTTTTCCATTTTCAATCCTGATTGAACGATCAATCATTCTTTACATGCTTGAGTTTTGCACAGCCCCAAGTGAAGTTATAAGAGATTTGTTCTTCATTTTAAAATTAAGAGTAAGGAATAGAAATCTTAAAATCTATCCTTGTTGTTGTTGTTGTATGCAGTCGAGTCAGCCCTGACTCATAGTGATCCCTCCTTGGGTTTCCAAGGCAGTATCACTATGGAAGTAGGATTGCCCAAACTTCCTTCCGAGGAGTGGCTGGTGGGTTTGAATAGCCAGCCTTCTGGTTAGCAGTCAAGTGCCTTAGGCACTATGCTACCTAGGCTATAATTTTATTTAAAAAAAAATTAAATTATAAAAATTATTTTTTAAATGTTAAAGAAAATATTTATTATCATAAGGAACTTTCTTCTCCCCTTTTCTTTTCTTCCTTCTGTCTTTCTTAATGCTCCTCTATTTGCATCTTCACAGCTACGTAATTTTGTCAGATTTAAAAAAAAAAAAAGTACTTTAGTACAATATTGGCATTGATGAGATAATTGAGTATTGTATTTATTTGTATATATTATAATTTGGTCTGTTTTTATGTCACGATAGCTAAAGCAAGGTAATCAGGTGACATAAGAAATTATAAAACTATATGCCACCCCTACCCCAAAATCTCTAGTGATCAAAATGATTATTTGAATGATGAAGATAACTATAAATCAAATTCTGCAAAGATTATCTCAGGGCAATAGTTAGAGGTTCATCCAATCTTCCTGGCTCCAGGAAATCTGGAGTCCATGTAAATTTGAAATTCTGTTTTGCATTTCCCCCTTTCTATGGTAAAATTTAGGAGCTCTGGTAGCACAATGCCTAATGCAGTTGACTGCTAACCAGAAGGCTGGTGGTTCAAACCCAGCAGCCACTCCTCAAAAGAAAGGTTAGGTTGGACAATCTGCCTCTGTAGTAATACCACCTTGGAAACCCAAGGAGGGATCGCTGTGAGTTGGGTCCGACTCGATGGCACATAATGACAACAATATGATAACATTTAATCAAAGTCTTTGATCAAAATGTTCAGTAAAAGTAACCTTGTACCACCAATTCTTTTGGATTCATGGTTGAAATTAGCCACATATTCCATATCTTCTCTTCATCCTGACTTTCCTTCTTCTTCTGTTGTTCCTGGTGAAGATGTATCCCATTGAGTCTTCTTGAAACCAAACCATAGTTTATGTAACTAGTGACGAATGTGTGCCTTGGGCATTATACTCTTTTAAGAACTATCTATGTGGGATCAAACTGATCAGAAGAGTTGCTTGGAAGATTAGGTAGGAACCTTAGAGGGCAGTGAATGAGGTTAATGAGAAAAGGACAATTATAAAAATGAAGGTGAGAATGGTTACCTAACTTGAAGAAGGTACTCAGTGTCACTGAAAGTACATACAGAAACTTTTCAATTTTTGTATGTTTTGCTGTGTACCTTCTCAACAAAAACTAAACAAATTATACACAAAAGTTGTTAGAGTATCAAGTGTAAGGATAATCTGTTGGGTGATTCCCATGGTCCTAGAGATTGTACACAAGGAAAAAAAAAAAAAAAGCCCTAGAATGCCTAATTCACAATACCAAAACCAAACTCACTGCCTCTGAGTCAATTCCAACTCATCGTGACTTCAACTGGGTTTCCAAGGTTATAAATCTTTATGGAAGCAGACTGCTTCATCTTTCTCCTGCAAAGAATCTTGTGGGTTCAACCACAGACCTTTGGGTTGTAGCCAAATGACTTAACCACTACATCACAAGGGCTCCTTAAATTCACTCTCCCAGTGAACAATCAGAAAGCATTTCCAGAAGTTTAGAACTTTGTAGTCATCAAGTACCTGTCACAAAGGACTGAATCCAGTATGTGATTTTTATGGTTCACAACCACAAATATGAATATTTGAGAGTTTTGATTATGATGAAATAGGTATCTGAAATACAATCGGTATTTTGGCAGATGAGGAAAGATAAGAATTTGAGAGCCTTAGAAAAAGAAAGACCCTTTTTAGTAGGATCATGCAGCATAGACATCTTAACCTTGCTCCTGGAGGTTAGTGGAAATACTTTTAAGTTTCCCATCATTCAGTGAGATGATACCTTTTAATATAAAATAAATAGATGATGATGATGAGAGATGATCTATAGATAGATAGAAGATAGATAGATAAATGCCTAGATAG